TTTGTTCACTTAATCTTTCGAATATCGACTTCAACATATGGTATATATCAAATTGTATGCATTATAAAAGTGAAAAACACCAATGCACGCATGTTTTAGATATAAACTTCCTACAATGAAGGATTTTGTTCAATTTGACATGTATTTTATAAATCACACTTTTCAAATTTTTGACTTATTTTGTTTAAATTTTTGTGATTTCGAATTTGAAATCATTTGTTGGAGTACTTTGTAATTACTAATATTTTATATACTTTTAAACATGTTTTTCGGGTAAATTTTTTACACATTCTATAGATTAATATCCCCATTAATATAATTTCAAAACGTTCTGAGCCTAAATGGCTGGCTCGCACGCTTCGGAAGCTTACTTGGCAACATTACATGCTTCGACTTTTCGTTCGGATAAAAATTATTTTTGTTTAATATTATAATATATTTTTGCTTAATCTGTGCCAAAATCGGTGTGAAACTACCCATATTGAACCACAAAAATTTCACGGGTTAAGAATCTTACACAAATATTATAATATATTTTGGCTTAATCCAATTCCCTCCATTCCCTAATTGTTTAAAATAAAACATTTAATAAATAGGATTTTTGCTTAATCCGATCTCCTCCAACTCCAAAATAAATAGGATTCTTATATGCTGTGTAAATAGGATTTTTGCTTAATATTATAATATATTTTTGTTTAACCTTTTCCAAGGTTAATAACTTTTATATTTTTATCAGTTTTACATATATAATATATCAAATTAATCATCTCTTGATGAGCTTCGATTTAACATCCATATTGTATGTGTAAAAAAATAAATTATATTTATCTTTATAACAATAATAATTTTTTTAATATTAATTAGAAAAATAAAATTATTTATCAATTAATATATTTATAAACAAAAGGTAATTCATTAGAAACATCTTTTTTTATTATTATTAATAAAGGGCTCGAGCTGTTATGTTAAATATGTATTGAAAAGAGTCGTACGACCTCTCTTTAAAAGTGGGATCATATACTATCTCGCCGATAACAGGTTGTTTAAACATTTATAATAAATTGTTATATTTATGGACTTTAAATCCACCTTGTTATAATCAAAATTTCTCTCGCCCAAAATCTCTCACGCTCGAAAACCCTAACCGGCGGTAGATCCTCTTCTCGCTGCCGATTCGCCTTCCTCGGCGACGGCGACACCTAGCCAGCGGTCGCCTCTGACTGCTCGGCCCGTCCCGGATGCCTCGCGGCTCGTGTTGCTGTAATTTTCATGTGGCGTGCCCTTCGTTCGCGGGTGGATCTGCGATTGGAGGTGGTGATTCCCTGATCGACGACCTGAAGGAGTTTGGAGGTTCCCTCTCGGACACCAGTGGCTCGTCGTTAGGTGGAGGTAAGCCCCTCTATCTCTGTTCCGTCAGTGGTTGAAGTCCTCCTGGGACTGCTCTGCTTCACAGGTGGGGCGTCCGGTGGGGTTTGGTTGGTAGTCGCCAGTTTTTTGCGGCGGCCTTGGGTGGTGAGTGGGTCTGCGGGCGGGTCGGGACTCTGATGGCTGAGGCGTCCTTCGTCGGGGCTGCCGGAGTTGCAGGACCGGGAAGCTCTCATAACCTCCGGTTCTCTGGTGTTGAGGACTGGGCGGGTCTGGTACGTCTGAGCTCGGCTAGTGGTGTTAGGCGAGGTTGGGTAGTGCCGGAGAGGGGAGCTGGTCTAGTTCTCTCGGTTGGAGGTGGGTCGATTTGAGACGGATTCGGGGCTTGGGTTCAGCTTCTGTATAGGCGTTATCGCAGTTTCGGTCGTAGTTCCTCGGGCTTGGAATCTTCTTAGGTCGATGGTTCTCTACTGTTTTGGGCTCGTCGGTTGGCTGAGGAAGGGCATTTTATATTTGTATTTTAGTTATTTTGATTTCGTTTGTTTGAGTCTGTGTTAGTATGTTTCTTTGGTCTTGTATTTTTGGTTTGGGCCGTTGACCCCTGTGAGCCCGAGTGTCAAATTGATTGTCCTGTGGGGACCATACACTCGAGTATTATCCTGTTGGGATCCTTGTAGTTTTTCTTTGTATGTTGTTGTGTTGGTGTCTAGTGAGTCTTGTTTTCGGTTTCTAGCGTTGCTAGAGTCGGATTTCTAGGCGGTCGTATGACCTGTCCTCTCATTTTTTTTTTCAGTTTTTGGTTGCTTGTCCTTCTCCCGTTGGGAGCGTTGTATTTTCGTCGCACTTTTGTGCGTTTTGATTTATAATAGATCCTCTATCGTTCCGGCCAAAAAAAATAAAAAAATCCACCTTGTTCTTGCATCTTAGGTATTCAAATAATGGATAAAGAAAATGCAAAACTTATTAGACACATTAGAATGATGAAAATGAAAGAAAAGTATGGACTATCTCCTGCAGGCATTGAAACTATTGTTTCGAGTGAGTATATTTTATGGGACTTTGATTAGTTCTAAACTTCTAATAGCAAAAGTAAAGCCCAAATAAGACAATCCCCTCCCCTTACATCGCCTCTCCTCTGTTGGTTGTTTTCATACGCAAGAGATGGAAAAAGAAAAATAATGATAAGGAAAGAAAAAAGATAAGAGAAAAAAAAAAGATAAAGAAGAGAGAGAAATTTGGGTCAATAAATGCCATTTAGGGAGTAAACATTGGAATAAAAAAGTGCCAGTTGAGGAAAAGTAAAAAAGGCAGCTGCAAGTACACGCCATTATTTACTGTACTCTTACTTAACGCAAATACTTAGGTGTGCTAGGTGTGCCAGGGCCTTTTGTGAAATACAGTTCCTTTAAAAGTGCGTGAGGTAAGGAGGTAGATTATTATTATTTTTTTTTTTAAATGGGACATGTGTCCCATTTCTATTGGGTAATGAATTTCATATATCATATTATATAAATTAAATTATCATTCATATTTTGTATCAAAAAATAAAAATAAAAATACCAAAATTCATAATTTTTCATTATTTACAAATAGAGACCACATTTGATATTTTTTGGAACACAATTAATTTATCATTTTTTATAATTAATTTATCTTATTGGAAGATTATGACGCAAATCTATAATTAGATGAATATGTTACATACACTACAACAAAAAGGAGCTCTAACAACACAAATATTGTGACATTTTTAATAAGTGTAAGTAAAATTGATGTGTTTGTGATGCTTTTTAAAAAGCGTTGTAAAGATAAAATTATACCAACACTTTTTTAGTAATGTAATCAATATCATGTCACTTTTTAGAGAGTGTCACAATTTAAGCCAATATTGAGACATTTATTTAAAAGTGTAATTAAATCATGACGTTTTCTACAAAAGTGTCGTCGTGTTTAGCTATATAGCGACATATTTTTAAAAGTGTACTAAAATAATGTCACATTTCCGAAAAAATGTCACGATTTTTACTAATATGACAACATTTACCTGAAAATGTAATTACGTTATGACATTTATACAATTATGTCGCTATTTTTAAACATATAATAACACTTAAGAAAAGCGTAAGTATTTTGTTAGTGACATTATTACACAGCGTCACATTATTTTACAGTGACACTTGAAGTGCTTACAAAAAGTGTTTTTCTTTTAAAAATGTTTCCCAGTGTTTTTTCTTCTTCACTTTTCTGCTTTTGATGACAGATCAAATTTCACGCTACGTTTTCAGCCCGTAAACAAACCCTAGATTAGCCCCACCATCACCAGCATCAGCTCAGCCCTACGCCACCCATGTAGAGAGACGGCAGCTTCCCTGATCCAATTCGATCACACCCCCAACCTCCAAAATCCAGATCTCACACCAGTCACAAATAGCTCCACCGCCGTGAAATAATTCGCAATCGACGGCGGTAGTCTTTGCCGACGTAAAAATCGGCGCACGTGGATCCACCACTTAGATGCTGTGTCTGCCCTGGCCGTCAGCAGAAACTGTTCCCTCTTCACGGTCTGTGGGCTTGACCCCTCGCCTCAGGTTCGTTGATTTTGTGTGGTTCATTGGTTCTATGTATTTTGTTATTGCAGTAGTTTTTTTTTTTCATTTACTTATTAAATTGTTTTGTGAAGATTTTAGGCAGATTTTATTGTTGCTGAAGGAAGTAATTTGGTGTGTGAAGGTTCTTTATTTGAGACTGGTTTCTCGAGAATGTTTTGCTGCAAGTTAAAAGCCTTAGATTGCTGTTGTAATAATTTGTGGGTTTTGGAGGCAGGAAATGAGAATTTAAGGTGGTTAGGGAGGCAAATCATGCCAATTCCAACAAAAGTACCTTAGCAAAGTAACTATTAAAATGTAGGGCAATTTTTTACATAATATCATTCAAGCATCACAATCTATATGCTGTGTTAGATGACTGTGAGTGTCAGAGTGATACAAACTCTTAAGGTTATTAAATTTAGGAATATTTTAGGAAACTGTGGAATGTGGAGGAGAGAATCAATTTCCTATTATACAAAACAAAACAATGAAAAAAAATGAGAAATCAATGCACAACACTATGATTTTTGCTATAATAGATGTTTCTAAAGACGATGTCAGTGCCAATGAGAAATCAAGCATCTCTTTGTTTATTATGGGGATAAGGTTCGGCTCATGCTTTCATTGAGTAGTAGCGTGTTTGTTTTTTCCAATTTCGGATCCGCGATTCATAATTTACTTTCTTTAAAACTATGAGTGTTATCCTATCACCCAAATTTATTTAGTATTGTGTTCGTTTGGACTTTTGAAGTGTTTTCTTTTTATGTTTCATTGTTGACTAGAACTATTTTGGCTTGTTTATAGAATTTCTGTTGAAAATAACATTTTTTTTACTTTCACATGAACTTGTTCGAAAGTCTTCACAAATTTTCACCCAAGTGTAGTCATGGGCCTCAACGATGATACACATATACTATGCCATTACAGTTTTGAGACAGTCTGTGGTGGATGAAGGGGTCTGTGTTGTGTTGAGAGTGAGTTAAACTTTGCTAACAGACATGATTAGGCTAGATGTACTCAGATTAAAAATATAAATAGGAAGAAGAAATGTTCGATTATTTAAATTTAACATTAGCTTCTCGTTTATGTATGGGTCAGTTCATTAGATGTGCTATGTTTTGGATCACTGGACTAGAGAAAGTGCGATTTTATCTTTGTTTTTACCTTCAGGGACTGATTGGGCAGTATGCAGTACCCATTCTTGAAGAGAAATCTGTTTGGGGCACCACAGCTCCTACAATAATAGCATACATGGACACCCAGGTAAAATGATGTGGATTGTTATGCTCTTGATATCAAAATGTGCAAGAAAAAAATAAAGAAAAATCTGTGCTTGGCACTCTACTGATGCTTAGAGTCCCAACATGTACATGTTTATCAGGATATCACCCGATTAACATTTATAGCTCTGCGCAATGAGAATATCACTGGAAAACTTCTCACATTTGCTGGACGTCGTGTCTAGACTACCCAAGAGGTAACAAAAAGTGTTGAATGTTTAAAAGAACATGCCACTTTGTTCTTAAAATTATTTTGTGATCTTTTTGTACTTTGTACTCTATATACTCAGAGTTATGCTCTTTTTTTCCCATAAAACTCGTGACCATGCATGCTTACGGAGGATTATAGCATTTCATTTCGGTTTGATAGACATTAGGGGAAGTTGACCACTGCCTGTAGAAATGGAATGATTCATAGAGCAAAGTTTGCTAAGAAACCTTTTTCTAGCTAATGCATTGCTACTCTGAAGCAAATTCTTGTCACACTTAGAACCATCCACTAACTTGGAAACAGTATACTTCTTTTATGTAGTAAAGTCACTTAAGATTAGGTAAAAGTTTTTTAGTAGGTAAATTTTGTAGCAACTTATAATATTCTTCTAGTGAGATGACATGCTCAAGATGTGAAATTTACTCCAGATGAGTAAAAATATTTTTCATAAGTCAAAAGGCTACATCCTACCTCAACTTTAATTTAGAGTTCAGTTTGAAATTAAATGTGTCTTGGTTATATGTGATAACCTTGTGTGAAAGGCTTGCTGGTGAAGATGCAAATGTTGCCACTGTCCTCGTCTCTATTCTGAGATTTACTTGACAGCTGACTCGTCTATTTGAATGGACCAACGACGTTGTTGATAGATTGGCATTCTCAGAGGTACAACATTTTTTCATTCTTTATTATCGATACTCGTGATATGTACGATTCCAATCATCATGATTTTACATGCTGGAGATGTTTTTGCCGGTGATGCCAGTCGATATAGTTACATTCATGCGGTTATTCATGATTCTTGAAATTTTGATGTTGTAGTTACCATAACGAAAAGGAATTTCCTTTGGTTTCTTTCATAGGTTCTTACAAGTGTTTTGTTTTCTCGGCCCCAATGGACGAGACGTACAATGTGTTTGGCGTGGAAGCGAAAGATATTAGTTCCCTAGAGAAATATCTGCACGAGTATTGAAAATTATTTTATTGAACAATGATGTGGTTTCTTTTTATTATGTTATTGGAATTTCAACATTTTATTTATTTTGTATATTTAGTGTGGATATTATTATTGTCCGAGTTTTATTATAATAACTTTTATTTCACTGTGGAATCTATCTCTTGTATGTTGATGGAAATTATTATATGTGTAATTAATTTGACACAAAATTGGTGCCAATTTCATAATAACGATGCATGAATTTGTCACCAAAAATTATAACGACACTAAAAATTATAACGACACTTAAAAAAGTGTAGTGAATTGAAAATTGTTAACAATACAATTTTGTGTCACAATAATCCATATTAATGACGCTATAGAAAAAGCGTCATGCATCGAAATTTATGACGCTAAATTATATGTCACAACTTGTAATAATAATGACATGTTCAAAAAAGAGTCACCCAATGAAAATTCCTTACAATAATATATTGTGTCACTAAATTACGTATTAACGACGCATTTTTTAAAAAGTGTCACGCATTAAAGATTACCTACGCATCTAGGTTGTGTCACCAATAAATTCGTGACATCAAATTTAGCAACGCAACTCGTGACACTTTTGCAAGTGTAGGTAAATTTATTTGTGACGCTAATAAATGTCACCAAATAAAAAAATAAACGTCACTAAATGCAGTTTTTGTTGTAGTGATAGTAAGATGAACATGTTATAGAGTAAGATGAACATGTCATAGAATAAGATGAAAATATTACATTTTCACAGATGAAATTTAGATGAACATGTTGTAGAATAAGATGAACATGTTACATAATAAAATGAACATGTTATAGAATAAGATGAACATGTTACATAATAAAATGAACATGTTATAGAATAAGATGAACATGTTACATTACAAAATGAACATGTTATAGAATAAGATGAACATGTTACATACACAATAAGGTGAACATGTTATAAAATAAGATGAATATGTATTATTTTCAATCTGCAATCTGTACATGTTCATCTTATTTGAAAACATATTCATCTTGTTATGTAACATGTTCATTATATGTCAGTATAATAAAATAATTACGAAAAAACGAAAAATTAGTTGTGCTAAAAAACCTATCAAATGTGGTCTCTATTTATAGATAATGAAAAATTATGAATTTTGGTATTTTTATTTTATTATTTCAATATAAATAATTAATGATATTTTAATTTATGTAATATGTCTCATTTTTCAATTAAAAAAGAAAAAATGAGAATGTGCACTACACTCTCTAAATTTTCTAGCTTTTTGGGATGAAGGGGCGCGTGCAAATTTGCCCTGACACACCTAGCTAGGTGTGCCAGGGCACACGGTAGTGCTACTGCCTACTTACTCCCACATCGGATAAATAAACTAAAAATGTAAGCTACTTAAAGTGTTGTACAACAAGTTTCAAACAAGAGCACAATTGGACCGGTAGGCCGCGTTAATTGCTCCCGGTTAAGGGTTTTGGGCGGTTTTGACTGGTTCTAGCGATTTTTGACTGGTTTCGAGCCCCAGCGGTTCTATTCCTCAAACCGGACCGGTGTAGTGTCTGGTTCCTGGTTGAACCGAACACTTTAGAAAAATTATAGGTGAATTTAATTTTTTTCAGAATGATATATAATATTTTAAATAATCATATATGTGTTATGTAATATTTTATGTGTTTAATATTTTAAACATACATATTTTATGTTATTTTAGAAAAGATAATTTTATATTATTATTATATCACATGTTAACCCCACTTCTTTAATTTATAAGTATTGTTTAATATTATTTACTCACTCATTAATTTATAATTATTATTTAATATAGTTTATCCGTGCATCGCATGGGCTAAGCACTAGTTAAAGTTAATATGATGTGTAAAAATGATTGATTGTTATTATTTAAGATTGATTGTTATTATATAATTATATTGATAATATTGAGGATAATGAGATAGAGTTAAAGTTGAGTTAGATTTTGAGTATGAATTAATTTGGTTTGAGAATTTCTTTTACAAACATAGCCTTAACATATTTCCATACAACTTTTTATATGACCTTAATGAGTTGATCATTGGAGGTTTAACGTCGGGAACATCTTCCAGCGTCTTTGCAGATTTCCAAGGAGCAAATTGGTCAAGGAATTATGGAGAGTTACTTCGAAGTGCTATTGCACACAGTTCAATTCCTTTGACAAACTTTAATGTGTGTAAATGTTAGGATCCTTTTTGCTATGTATTAATATTATCCTTGCCATCTTGAAATAAATTTGGGTTTGTAGATTATCTATATACATAGTAGTAGAACGCTGAGAGTGTCCACTGATTTTCCTTGTACATCTTTCACTATCATAACTAAACAGCCTGCCCCAAAGCTTGTCCTACAGTCCCCACCGGCAGTGCTTCAATAGGTTGGACTTAGAATGTTTGGTAAAATGGTAGATTTATTGATCAGTTTTGGTATGGAACCATCGGATGACTCAATTTATGGAGCCATTCACACTTATTCACCAATAGTGTATTGATACGTGCCATATAAAAAATACAATTTGGACATGTGTCAATACATTAAGTGGTGAATGGCTCCATAAGAAAACCATCCGATGGCTCCATAGAATATTGTTATATTGATATATTTGATTAACAAGTTCCAATTTTTGTTCAAGGTTCTTTGTTGTTCCCAGTTTGAAGTTTTGGAAAATTGGGCTGCAGGCTTTCCTTTCCTTTCTGCTACCATTTTAGTTTTGTTTTTTGGGAAATTTTTATGCATCCCACATGATTGTTAAAATATTGCAAAATTATCATCCATGCACAATTAATTGTGTATATACCTAATAGATAATAATTAATTACATTGATGCCTAAAAACCATTTACAATTTCAACCTCCATTTCTTATTTTTAGCACTTGATATGCGGGCTGTTACCAAAACATCATGCATATAAAATATAAGAATCAATTACTCCTATTATTTTGGGCACATGATTTGCGGCTGTTACTGAAGAAATCATTGACTCCCTTAATTGGATATATTAAACACATTAGACACAATAAATTATTCCCGCAGCTTACACATTTTTAAGAGAGAGAAATAAAAACATGCATGGTAATTCACGCAGCAGTATATATTGCGTTTATATTTAGTATATATTCAGTAAATGTTGCAACATTTACACTCAAGAATAGTTCTCAGATTTTTTGAATATGTAGTATATATTGCGTATATAGTTAGTATATATTCAGTATATAACATGAATTTTTATTTACGTAGTATTTTTGTCTAACCCTAAAATTGTCATGTTTGAATTTTGGTTCAGAATATTGCGTTTATAGTTAATATATTCAGTATACGTTATGTTTATTATTTACATAGCATTTTTATTGTTTTGAATGCGTTTATAGTCGGTATATATATTTACTACTGATATAGTGCCGACAGAAACATATACTGAAATATACGGTATATAAACATCAGGCTATGAATAAACACATCAAAATACGAATCGAAAACATATACTGAAAATATACTGTATATAAACATGATCATACTATGAATAAAACACATAAACACGAATCATCACTCACCAGCTTTCATAACGGAATCTATCAAATTCTCGCCTGAACATAATAAAATCTCATCAACAATATTACATCAAATTTAATACACATTGCTTACAAGGAACCAGTTCTAAAGATACGAAAAAACTAAATAAATCAAAATCAATGGCATCAACATACAGTCAAACACCTGATTCAATCTTACATCCATCACATGAATCAAAAAATTCACAAATCTAGCAGGACATCCTCATTTTCCTCGCCGAGATTGAGGGCCACCACCCTGTCGCCGTCGCAGTAGACTCCGGCGAAGTTGCAGGGATCGCCGGTGAAATCCCAAGAGGGGAAGTAATTCGAGCCAGGCAGATCGGAGAGGCCCTTTCGAATCGATTGGAGCAAAAATTGGGCGAAAAGTACGATAACCGTGGGGAAGCTTCATCGGCGGCGGTGGACAAATTTTTCCCTTTCGGATGGTTTTTGTTATGAAAATGAGGAAGAAGGAGGAGGGTTTTTCGCAGAGGTGGTTCTCCGTGAGGGCTTTAATGGCGGCAGCGAGAAAGTTGCACAAGCTTCACATGAAAGGGAACAGGAAAAAGGAAAAAAATAAATAAATAAAAGAATTGATCGGAAATCAAGTGTTTATGTGATTTGTGATTTGATTAAAAAAGCTTGTTGGGGAAGATGCAAAAAATGGGGACTGACGATGAGATTGTTTTTTCTTCTGTGTGTGTGCAATGCAATGAGTATAGAGGAAGTCGANTTTTATTCTCTGTGTGTGAATGAGTACAGAGGAAGTTGAGAGTTTTTTTATTCTGTATGAATTTTAATGAATAAAGTGACTTAAATTTTGAATTCTAGTATATGTGCAAATATTTTAAAGTGATTTTGTATCTTTGCAAATATATATTAACTAGTACGACTCCCGTGAACTACACGGGTTGTTTAAAAAAATATATAAAACATAAAATAATAGAAAAAACACATATGTTATTGTATAACTATTTCAACTCCTTAAAATATATTAGAAAGATCATATAATATTCTATAACTATTTCAATGTATTTTTATAGATATTCTTAAAATATTTAAATAATTTACTTATGGTTGGATTGAAAAGATATAATATGTAGTGGCTATAAAATTTTTGTAAAAGTATAGTATTTTTTTTTAATTTAAACTATATAAAAAAATTATTGTTTACATTAACTATATAAATAAAATAATATATAAAGCTAAATTTTTTTATATTGGTTTACACGACAAAATAAAAATCCTAAGATGTAATGTTGTCCAGTAAGCTTTATACGATAAAAATTTGGAGTTGGAGGATTTATACGGCATCTAAAAATCCTATTTATTTGGGAAGCCTTATAAGATAAAGAATCCTATTTAATTAGGGAATGTATTTTATTTTAAACAATTAGGGAATGTATCAATCTAAAATTTTATTTTAAACAATTAGGGAATGTATCCGAACCAAAAGCCGAAGCATGTAATATTGCCAAGTAAGCTTCCGAAGCGTGCGAAGCAGCCATTTAGGCTCAGCACGTTTTCAAATTATATTAAAGAGGGGATTAGATGTAAATATGTAATATAAAATATATTTGATTGTATGTGGTGCAAATTCCTCTTATTTTTTTTTTTAAATTTTGGACGGGTTCGGCGGGCCTTTTATAGGCCCAGCCCGCCAAAATACCTGTTTTTACGGGCTGTGAGGGGACCCGACCCTAGCCGAGCTGTAAATATATAATATAAAATATATTTGATTGTATGTGGTGCAAATTCCTCTTATTTTTTTCTTTTTCAAATTTTGGACGGGTTGGGCGGGCCTTTTATAGGCCCAGCCCGCCAAAATACCTGTTTTTACGGGCTGTGAGGGGACCCGACCTTAGCAGAGCCGCCTATGTATTTCGCACTTTAATTCCCCGTAAGCAATTAGGGTTTAAACCGTAAACCCCTGTGTTGAACTTGATTTTCCTCTTTTACGTTTCTGAAGGTCGACTTTAACCCACGCCATAGTTACGCTAGTGCTCCATCAAAATTGGATATCTTCCCCTGAAATTAATAGGCAAACGTGGTCGAAGAAGCTCAGGCAATGGTGAAATTCAAAGCACAGTCGAAGAAGGCCCAAAAACGCGGAGTGGACTTCAAAGTAAGGATCATAATTATTTCAGTCTTAAGAAATTATGATTGGTAGATCGTGACTGTTAACTTTCAAAACTCTTTTTTTGTTTCCTTTTGTTTGGTTCTCTTTTACAGAAAATTAAGCGGAAAATCGGCAGGAAATTGCCGCCCCCAAAGAATGCTACAAACACTGAAATAAAATCTAAAGCGATAGTACTTCCGGAACAAAGTATAGTGTCTGAAAAAGCTGGGTTAGCTGTCAGCAGAAAGGGATTGACACTAAAGGAGCTTCTTCAGCAGACTAGCCATCACAATGGGAAAGTCCGAAAAGGTCTTGCATTTCATTTTTCACGCTGTATTAAGGCAATCTATTTATTTGTAATGCCAATGAATCTACGGTAGAAGTATTTGTAAACTCGTTCATGCAGGGAGGAAATGAAGTCAAAGTTCTGATCAAATGGGACTAAAGTAAAAAAGAACAGTCCTTGAGGGAAGGCGAATTTTTGCACGCATGTACATGAATAGTGTTGTTTGCTTTACGAATATATTAATGCATTGACATGGTAATATTGGAGGAGTTCCATTGTGCAGTTGGAAAACCTCATGGGACTGATCTATTATATTCGTGAATATGTGATACAGAACAATATATTAGAGTTCGTTTTCATAGAACTTTCTGTTGAGGTTGTTTGGTTCTGAGGTTGGTTAGCCAAGCTTGAATGATGTGTTGTCTAATTTTGATGTTAACTCATATTAATATCAGGAGCTCCGGACAAATTTTCATACTTTGTGGACTCTGTAACTAAACAGAACAAATAGTACCTTTGATTTATAAGTGATACGGAAGAAATCATAAAAATAGTATATGTTTTCCAGTTCATTACATCTTTAATTTTAGATAATGTGAATGGTTGGTGGACCTAGGATATGGAATTCGGATTGTTGAGAGTTGATAACACTAGAGTAATTTGTGGAAACATAATAACTTAAACACTTCTACCCAAGTTGTGGGTGGAGTGCGCTTTCAATTATTATCAAAGTTGTGGTATTAGAATCTAGAATTGCAACTATTCTCGGTAATAGTAAAATTTGACTGCCTAAGGGCTTGTAGGTGCAGTCTGTGAATTGGTAACCTTGCAAAAGGACCCGCGTTAATCCTTTCATCTCCTTCCTAGATCAATTCTATCTTCTTTCTCTCGACTTTGGAAGCATTTTAAACATAGTGAACTGGAATGAGTTACCAAGTAAACATTACACATGTTTTCCATGATGACTGTCATTTTGTGTTTGTTACTTTGTTATTGACAAATCTTTGTAATTTTTCAGATGCATTGCTAGGTATGAAAGATATACTGCTTAACCACCCAGTTGAGCTGAAGTTGCATAAACTTTCTGTCATAGAAAAACTGCGCGAACGCATTGGTGATGATGATAAAGTGGTTCGTGAAACACTTTATCAACTTTTTAAGTCAGTAATTTTCCCTGGATGTGGAAAAGTAAGCATTAATACTATGGTATAACTTTTTTTTAACAGAATTATGTTTCTTTGCATTTCGTGTTAGCTGTTACGTTTAGTTATGATTGTCAGTAATCCATAGAGATTACACTATATGAAGAGGCGATGAAGAAATATTTTGCTTATTTGATGGCTTACTTTGTGTACTTTGTTTCCTCGACAGTCACATCAATGTCCTTTTGGTTTCTTTTTATTCTGAAAACTTGCTTTAACCTTTTGAAAATATTTTCCAAATAACAAGTTAACAGATGGTATCTTAATCAACCAATTTTTTTTCTTATGAAAGGCCGAAGAAAAAATGGGCTCATGTCAAATGAATTAGTATTCTTTTTTTCTCTCCAGATTATCCTTTCCTCTTAAAGACCAAGTTGCTGGTCTCTAGAATGATTCTTGTTATTACAACATCTGCTTTTGTATAATTTGTTTGCTCAACCCCTCATTGCCTACCTGTCGTGTATCAATTGACAATGAAGTACACATGTTTTCTGTTTAAGTAGGAATTTCTTTGGTTGATCCGATGCCTCTCTTTTTCAGGATAATCAAGGACCATTAGTTTCCTTGATGATGGCGTATATTTTTAATGCTATGACCCATTTAGCACTAGATGTTCGCTTGATGGCTTTCAAGTTTTTCGACCTTATCGTGCAATTTTACCCCTCTTCATTTTTCTTATATGCTGAAAAGGTATGATCATATGCTGCTTTTCTGATGTGCATGCTTATTGCATTTTATTCATTATGGGTTAGCCTTAAAAAAGTGGGTCCTAGATTTCTCGTTTTATTGCATATTTCTAATGGAAGTATAGAGTAGTAGATTCGGGGGAAAGGGGGTGGTCTCATGGAGGTGAACTGCACCATAAGAAGGCAAGCCTAGTTACCACATTGGTGAGGTTCCACCCCAAAACCAATTGCTGATGAAAGGATTAGCCCACTAGGCTTATAAACTGACTCATTTGTCTTATAGAATCCATGTGGGACAATTCAAAATTGATATTCGAACACAACCACTCACTTGTGAGTCCTCTAACCGTCCGAGATCGGGCTCGATTAGCAGAGTAGCAGAAGGTCCTAGAACGGGCCTGCTTTGATACCATGTAGAGTTATAGATTCGAGGGAAAGGTTGCGGTTTGAGAGGTGAAGCGCCATATGAAGGCGAGCCTAGTTGCCATCTTGGTGAGGTTCCACCCGAAAACCAATTGGTGATGGAAGGAGTAGCCTACGAGGCTTATAAACTAGACCCATAGAATTATTGTGGGGCAACTCACAAATGATATCTCAATAGAAAGAAATAAGGAGAGATAATTTGTGATTCAGTTAGTTCAGTTGTTACGTTTGTTGGCTTCATTCTTGAATAAAAATGTAGCTTTCTTTCTCGTTCTTGCTTGGTACAATATATATGTGGTGGATCTTCTGTTACATTTTTATCGGCATTTCCATTATGATTCACCTGTATTCTCATTGATGCAATTATAGGTTCAATGGTTTCCTTTTTCTTTTCCTGTGATCTTATTTGCTCCACTTTCTTTTGTCATTATCTTTTCTGAATATATTAGATTACATGTGCAGATTCTCCAAAACTATGAAGATATATTACGGAAGAACCAATTTGTAGAGGATAAGAGTAAATTGAAGAGCATTCTCGCAGGATTGATTCGCTGCTTGTCGTTGTTGCCTTGTAATCATAGAGACCAGGCTGCTGTTGAAAATGTATCTTGTGGTGTATTAATGTTGCTAGCAAATTTTGGTTGTGCTGTTCTTTAAGTTCACTACTATATACCTTGAATGAATGAAACCCAGTACATCCGGTGCACGTAATGCATCTGTCAGTTCTTGCAGTAGTCCAAAAAGTTAATTTCACAATATGTCATCTGCTAACCACAGTTCTTGTCTTTTCCCGTTGTCAACTATGTTTTAGATACATAAAGTTACTCATTGAAGTATGGTTTGTACAGGATGTTCCAGCCCATGACATTCTTCACGCTTTTGAGTCTGACGTTTCCAGAGAATCTGTTGGTGAGTCCCAAGAACTTTCAGTTCCATTGGTGTAGTTCTTTTGTCATCCATTCTTGGTGTCTGATTTTCACCTCGTTATAGTTTTCTTAGAAATAGCGACGTTTTTTGCTCACCGATGTACATTGCATGCCTGCTATCTTTCTCTTCTCCCATTACCATGGTTGGTCAATCTCGGTGTATTAATTGAAACTTACTACGAGTATTTTGTCGCTCTTTATGTGTTTTCTTCGATATTTATTGCAATGTCCCTGGAAAACTACTAAGAAACTTCGTTTATGATGCAAATCATTAATTTCTTATGAATTCTCCCGAGTAACATTTATAACATGCATATATAAACAAAAATTAACTATAAACTTTGAATAATATATAATTGAGTCTAATGATCTAATACTGGAGGGGCTATAGACCCTTTTTATAACTATTTATTTGCTTAACATGTTCTTGAGCTCAGAATATTTTCTAAATGTTTTTCAGTTAAATATAGCTTTTAAATTTTTGGGCGTACCTTGTAAAGATTGGTCAAGATTCTGTATACCATGAGTCTAATTCAACTTTAAAAGCATACTTTATTTATGATTATTCTGTAGATTAAGATCTATATTTATCTAATTGCTATTCTGTGAGCAACCCAATGAGTTTGCAAAGGAGTGCATGTTTATCTTGTTGGTGGTGCACAAAAGTTTTGATATTTATGCTACTTTTAATTTTTTCTAGTGTTGTGCTTCTAAATCTGACAGATAAACGGCCATTTTGTTTGCTGTTTGCCCACGTTATTTCTGATGCCAAGTCTTTATGCTTGTTATTAGTCCCCTTTGCCTATTGTGCTGGGAACTACATGAAGTTCCATAATTGTTACTGTGAATTCTAATATTTAAGCTAAAAATTTACATGCTAGCATGTTCATGATCGATTGTCTGTTATGGAGGCCACGATCTGTTCACTGATTAGAAAAAAACATAAGTTCCATAAATGGATTAGTGGTGGTCGTTACAGAAGTTTACTTAAGCCCAGAAACACAATAAAAGTTAATAAGTCTTTGTTGGAAAGAGGAGGATTGCACACCATATAAATGTTTGGGATAATGTGAAAAATTTGCAGTGAATCTTTATGTAAATTCTTAATTTTGCTTTACTATTAAATCATTTTCCTACATGGTCTCTGTGTGTGTATTGTCTTTATTGCTTGATGTTACATTCTGGGAAAATTAAATTTTCTCCTTAGTTCGAGGACTGCACGATACTCACCAACTTTGATTGCGTGTTTTGCAGGGCTTCCTGAAATTGTCAAGCCATTGAAAGCTCTTTTGCCCATTCTAGTTGGCTGTTTCCAGGATTTCATTCCCTTGCTGCAAAGCAGCTACCAACTAGATCTGCAGTCCTTTGATTGTTTGCAAATTATACTTCAGAGCGTTGATCTCATGGTCAGGTTTCTGGCCATTGGGATTTGCAAAAGTGAACCTGATCTGCAAATTCCTCTGCCATTTCAGAAGACGGGTATGAACGCATGTGATCAGTTGATATCACCATTGATGTTAAAGAAGTTATGGGATGTTTTTCCCCTCAGCCTAGTTCATCATCTCTCAGGAAAGGTATATCTATGTAGACAGATGCATTTCTAGATTTACTGCTTTAGTAATCCAAGTAACTTTAGTAATCCAAGTATAATCATCCTCGTCACCGCCTTTGTATAGGGAGATACCAAATATCATCATTACACCTGTTTTTCTTTAAGTCAGTTGTTGACAACATCAATGGCTGGTTCTTTTCTCAAAAATACCTAAATCTCTAATTTTGCTTTATCGGTCTTTGCAGGATGATGATCGAATTTTTGTGTTAAATACTTTTATTACCAGAATATTTTTGCAGTTGAGTAACTGGGACCATGCACCATATGCTTTGTTTGAAAAGTTTCTGGAGTTCATCGAAACTTCACTAGCTACAAAGGTTTGGTTATTGGTGTTGTCTATTGGACTCAAATATATAAAGTAGTTTTTGAGTTTCATCTGGTACTTTCCATATGATATTTATAGCATACTGCATACGTCAAAGTGAAGGATATTTATATCTTCCATGTTTTATTCTCTAGATTGTTTCTAATTAATAATCCATTAAAAGATCCTCTTCTTAAAGTCTAGTAGTCAAGAATTGTGACATGTATATCATTTGTTAATTTATGCATTATTTGCAGGTGCAATCGGGTAAAGTGTTTCATGAGAAACACTTGCTTCCGCTGATACCTTACATTCCGAAACTAACAGTAAAAGTTTCTGGTGACTGGAGGTCTCGTATTCTAATGGTCTGTAAGTGAATTATGTAACCATCGAGTGTTTTCTTAATGTATTCTCTCTTTCTCCTCAACAAATGTTTCATGCCTCTCTGTGATGGCCTGTAATTTTGACCTTCATTTACCTTCTGCAGGCCTTCACCGAGGTTTTCAAGAACTCCAGCCCAGAATCTGCAATGAAATTAGCTTGCCTTTCTGCAGTTGAAGAAATGCTTGCCCCTGTAAGATGTCTTATGAGTTATGATGTTCTTGTCATGTCACTGTACATTCATTTTAAGAATTTATGTTGCAAGATTGGATTCGCATGTTTCAATTACTACGAAGTGACGTTATTCAAGTTTCAACGTACTATGGAATTATAAAATTGAATTTGATGATAATTGTGTATTTTATGCTATTGGGTTCTGATTTCTATGGAATTATTGTGAAAACTCAACAAAGCAATTCAAGTCTGGATGTTTTTTCTTCGCTATGAAATATGGAATCTTGATATATATAACCAGTTATACCAGAACTACAGTAATTACATTTTTTTTTTCATCTGATATGCTCTAGGTGTAGGTTTTGGAGGTGGATTTTACTGCACTAGAATCAATTTATCTACAAAGTAGGTTCTTTAAATCTTTTTTGCCTAAATGCTCCTTTAAAGCAGGAAAGGAGCTTGCTTTACCTTGACACAGATGATCCAACCTTGTTCGACTATCAGATTGCATGGATACAGTATCTCCCTTCACTGCTAATTTTGTTGGATGATAAAAGCCCATCATGTTCGAAGGTTTACTTCCTGGTGTTAATGTCATGTTTTGAAAATTCTTTCTCGAACGCTTCAAGCTACTAGAAAGCTTTAGTTTACTGTCTATGAATTCCCTGATGACGATTGTTCTTTCTTCAGGCTGTGTTGCGTCTTCAACTTCGCATTCTACAAGGTGCTCCGGTTAACTCCCCATTCTCGCAGGAATTTGACACTATGCAGTATAGTTTTAAAAAAATTTTCAGCCAGCAAATTGAGAATGGTAGGCACTGTTGATAGTTCTCCTCATTCTTCTTGTCATTATATTGCTTTTGCCATATCTAAAGCACACTTATGGTTTTTGCAGCCATAAGTTATGGTCCCTTCATGAGGCTAGCAGCAGATATTCAGGAGCTTGCGATATGTTGCCTTTATTATATATCTTTCATGGATTCACAGCTTTTGCAGTCACTAGTCTCATGTTGCTTATGTAAGTAAAATACGATATCTTGAGGTCTTCTATTGTCATTATTGTGCTGGTGAGCTGCTGCAGTAGATTTTTGTTCTCCATGATAACTAATTAACTATGGTCGCATTTTATGTTCTGTCCACCGTAATGGAGTATATTCTAATTTTGCCATCAATCTTACTTTGTGCACTCTGTGCATGAAACTTTTGTTTCCTTGAAAAATATAAGTTCTTCCAAGAACTTTGTTGTTTTTGGTTTTTCTGATTAGTTATTGGATGGATATCTGATATCATTTACACTAATCTTACACAACAATCAAGTACTAGAACAAGCATGTTGGAAGTTGTATCGAGTAAGTGAAGGCTTCAATGTGTTCCCCTCATTTTTTTAGGATTTAATAGCGGAAGTGGAGTTGGGGTATCACAATCCTGATAATCATCTCACTAAATACATTACTCTAAAACAAACTATTCATGCTGGGTTGCCAAGTTTATTAGCACTTACCTGTAGGAAAGCAAGTTAATGTGCTTATCTCAAGTGGAAGAGTTGGAATAGGATATAGTTAATTCCACTTAATAAAAAGCCAGACAATTATTGTGACGAAAGCATCATTTATAGAGAAGTATATGTTGTTTATGGATGTTCCTTGTCTATCTCTCAGGTGATAATGTTGATAGAAACTTGGTTGTGCGTATCATAGAAGTTCTCCATTCGGCTTATAGAGCTGGACATATCCAAGTTGCGGACTATATAAGTTTCCATGTTACATTACTCGCGCGGTTCCAAGTGTGTCAGGGTATTTTCTTAATCGAGTTATGTTGCATCTGATTAAGGTTACCATCGACATTGACGTCATTTTAGAAACTGGATATATGTGAAAAGTTTGAGCAATTTTGATCTTTTCATTTTTCTGTTGTACTCAGGTTACCAGAACCCTCTGTGCAAACGTGATTTCTTTTTTACTTTGTTTTCTTTATGTGCTTTTTATGGGAATAGCATTGGGTTCACAATATGGAATTTTGAAGAAATTGCTTTGTAAAAATAATAGTACAGGTTCAAAATATTATGCATTTTTGAACTGTGAGAGTACATAAGGACCAATTGTTATTTTCAATATAAATTTATATATTGAGAAATTGTGTTGTGTTTGATTGTTTTCCAGAAAAAGGCTACCCTGCTGTGAAGGATAATCAGAAGCCAAATTGGAAAGCATATAAATCTATTACTTGCATGGTCTGCTCATGTTTGTCGCAGATTGGAGATGATTGTCTTATTTTCCAGATGATGGAGAAGATAATTGTTGATCAGCTAGTATGTTCTCTCTGACTTCCAAATTTACATCTTATTCCCATTTTCCACTCCCTTAGTTTTCTCATTCTTATGCAGACATTTATTAATAGCTTCTTTCATAATGGCGTGCAATATTAATATTGTTTTATTTTATTCAATATGTTTCAGTGTGGTCAAACACCATTGGACAATAAATGTGCTTTCCTCAGATTGCTCACCACTCTAGGCTCCAAAAAAGCTTCACTTTCTGATCAGAGTATTGTCAGCATAAGTTCTGTCCTTCCGAAATACTTGACTGATGTTGTGTCAGTAAGTTTTTTTCTTCTATATATATATGTATATATATTCATATTACTCTCATTCTATCATGGACAAATGTCAATATTTTAGTAAGGTGCCCCAACTTAATTGAACTATACCATATTGGTGCAGAACGTGGGAGAAGGTGTTCACGAGCCAACCGCAGTTATGAGCGTAAAAAGAAGACATTACTACTTACTACCTGTCTTTTACCTGTTTTATGGAAGTAAAAGATTACTGAGTCTTGTGTTAAATTTGATGGGATTTTGGATTTCTGAGTCCAGTTCATCAGGTGGGTCCCACCATCATATTCATCCGTCGGGCGATCGTTCAACTGTGGTATGTGCAATTGGTTCTGTACTCTCTCACATGTATAAAGATGTCAAGATCAGACCAATTCTATTGTCGTGCAAGATTGAGATGGAGACTATGGTGCAGAATTTGCTCAATTTGCTGGTATTTAAGCTTTTATCTATTTTCCTCTTCTCATGCGTATACACTGGATGACCGTTTTTGATGTACTTTGATGATTTTAGAGTTTTATATCTGGTTATTGTGTGTATGTTGGATTTCATGAAACACTTTCATTTCCTATGAGTGCCTGTCTGTACTTTGAAAATGAAAGTATTGTAGTTCACTTCAGCTAATTTAGTGTATATGTTAGGGAGGCTAAAAAGGTGTGTGTGTGTGTGTGTGTATGTAACTGTAGTCAACCCTTTCTTTTTTCTCTCTTTTACTGTTTCTCAAAACACCAAAATCATAATTTTTTTTTTTTCTTTTGGCATTATTGTTTTTCTCCTTTCCTCTTTCTCAAAACACACGAATCATCCCCGTCATTATTTTCTTTTCCAGTCTTCTGAAGAAACAAATTTGACCTTGGAGGAAAGGCACAAAATCCAGACAACCTATGGTCAATTGAAAGCTATGTCCAACAATGACGAGATCCAACATTTCTGACTTGGGATAAGTGAGTACAATTTGTTCTGTCCTTTTGTTCCGCAGTGGTTTTGACTCTTAAATATGGCGACATCCTTTAGGTGCTGCATCATCTCTTTTTCTAGAGTTTACAATGATTAGCGACTGATAACAGAAATATTTGATGTATTTTGCAGGCCATGAACTAAAACATTTCAGTTTTGCTTCAGAACTCAAATCAACATTGGGCACACATACAAAGGATCAAATGGGTGCCTTTTGTGGGTCGATTTCTCAAATTGGACATATAAGTTGGCTCGTACGAAACCAAGATATCTCACAAATGGTTCTCAGCGATCTTTCTAGGCCCACATTTGAAGCTGTCTTCTAGATATCTGCAAAAGAGCAAATTTTTGTTAGTGATTAAAATTGAACAGCAGAAATTAGCTAGAAAGTTTTGAGTTTTAGATGAAATTCACTTGTAATATTGTGTAAGTAAGCGGCAGACCGGCCAGAATTAATGCTAGTGTTGTAAGAATTAACACATGCTCATCACCATTACAAAAGGTAACAGGGTGTTGAAATTATTAAAATCAAAGAGAGGATTTTTTTTTTCCTTAAATTAAAGACGATCAATAGTGGTTCTCCACTTACCTCCTTGGGTGAAAAATTAAAGAGAGGATTCAACCAGATGATTTCAAAATAAATTTTAGTATTTGTATATAATTTAATGTATATAGGGTGCATATGCATTCGTATGCGGTGGGATCCTCCCAAAATACTGGAACGATGTCTCACGTTCCACTTTAATGATCGTATATATATTTTACTCCATTGATGTAATATTTATGTGTTATTAGATGAAATGAAGTATGAAATCAAACACTTGAGTGGAACGGGAGATACATGTATATTGTAAGGAGGAATTTACACCTCATACTATTAAATATAGTTATATTACATATTTACACTCATTTAATATTTATTTGCAAAGATACAAAATCACCCCCAACATATTTGCCAATATATCAAATTTTATAAGTTAATTAATTACGATTTAAATATGAAAATTAAATCAATTATGAATTAATTGAGATAACTAATCCTAATATCAAGGAGTCCCTTCTCATTCTTCTCCCCAATCCACCTCAACATGGTTGATGCAAACCACCACCGTCAACGACGACCCCATCATCACCTCCGTCAAGTTTGCTGGGAATTGAAAAAAAAATCTAGTTTGTTTAGAGGATTTGTGAGACCTGCAGGATTCACGTTTTTGGTGGGCTAAGGGCGAAAAAAAAAAATTATTTTTTGTCTTGATTTTGTGAGAGTTGTGCGGAGTTCCGGTAAGATTTTGCTGGAAGTTTTATTCCTTCTTGAAAGGAACTTGTTTGGAGATTTAATTTCCTTGTTAAGGAATTTAGCAGAGAATTTTAGATTTGGGAGGATTGTAAATTTGCGTGAGTTTTTTGAAGAGTGGCTGGGAGATTTAATTTGGTTGTACGTGGAGGCGCGTGGCGGAATTGAGGAGGGAGGAATAGGTGGCGGGGTCGGGGGCATCCTCATCGAGGGTTGCGGCGTCCCCATGGTTTGGGAAGATGATTGGTTGGTTGCAGAAAAATCGATGTTTGGTTCGATTTTTTCATTATACAAATTAGTTTATGATCAGTATATGTACAGTACATATATGTACAATTATTGTACATCTTAGTTTATGTTTGGTATATTAGTATGTACAATTAGTTTGTTTTTTTTTTGTATATGTATGGTTTATATTCAGTATATTTTCGGTATATGTTGCAGTTTTTACCAACTCTTCATAAAGAAATTTATTGCGAGATTTTTTTCATAATATCTGCATGATTTTTGTGTAAGAGTGGAGGTTAGCATAAAATAGTAACTGAATCTAGGCATTAATTCAATTAAATGTTACCTTTTAGGTTAAAACACAATTAATTGTGTTTGTATGGTATAATTGCAATATTTTTATAATCACATAGGATAGATGAAAATTTCCCGATTGTAAGGGTGTTGATTACAAAATTTAAAAGTTGAAATTAAAAATTTTATGTTACATTTGTAAGTACTTGAAACAAGTCGTTAGTATTTTTAATTTAAAAATATACTCGTCATGTGAAACTATGATGGTGACGAGATTGCGCTCGCTTTATTGGAGAAGAACGATTGTTTGGCGCCTTTAATATAATTATTTGTTTTCCTCTTTACTAGTGCACATCCAGTGGGATGCACGAAGGAACTTGTTACTTAAAATATTTTTTAAAATTTTATATTAAACATAATTATTTATATGTACTATTTCATTATTGCAAGAAAAGAAATACAAAAATATGAAAAATTATATATTATTTATCCACGAATATAATGACTGTCTCCAACCAAATCAATAACATCGAACACATGATATATGATAAAATTAATTATATGAATTGTCATGTTTTTTAAATAGGTTTAAGATTCGCATAAAAATTTATAATTTGGATATGAGATGAAAATGGATGTGTACAAAAAAATAGGTACCAAGAATCCACATAATATGATATTCTTTCTAAACATTGAAGATTTTGTAATTAGATAATATGGACAAAAAGATCATCAATTAATTTGAACAATCGGAAATATACAAATTATTACCGAAATTAGCATTCTTTATTAAATAAACACTATTTTTTAAGCTATGACCATAAAATATGAGATTTGTAAATAGTTAAATATGACTAAAAAAATATTTAACAATTAATTTGACATGAATTTTCGGAAATATTTAAAAAAATTTCAAACGTATTATTCATTAAATGATTGACTAGATTTTTGCAACCAAATTTACACCTTTGATAGAAAAAATTTAAGGAAATGATTGATCGGATTTTTTGGAAACAATATTTTTAAGATTCTTTCTCAGTATTTGTCATATTTACCCGTAGCATTTAAGAAAATCATTGCCCATTATTTTAGGAATTAAAGTTTACACAATATCTTTCTCAAATAACATTTTTTTTTGATAAGGATCTTTGTAGCTACGCTAGACCAGGGGCTTCTCGACCCTTCTCTCTTCCGGGAACAAATTCTCGCCCAATCTTCATCGTCTCTCCTCTGATTTGAAGCCGTCTGCCTTCCTGAGCGGCCATCGAGCTTCGCCGGCGGTCGATGGCCCTTGGCCGCTTGGATCCCCCCTTTTTTTTTCCGCTCCTTTTTCTGATTTCACTAGAGGAAGCCCTTGCCAGTTGAGGATGGGCTCTATATTTCCAGCGCCGGTTCGTGACTTCAGGTGGGTGGGTTCTCTGGTGTGCGGTAGTGGAGCCGTGGTGCCGTTCCTGGGGTGGGACACTGCTCGATTGCTCGTCTACTTGCTCCTGAGCGATGAGACGTTGCTGTTGCTTAAAATCACCCCTCAATCCTCTGATTGCGGGTTGCACGGGGCCGTCGCACCGATTCTTCTCTCTGTGGAGTTGTTCGGGGTGATGGTGCTGCAGAGTGCGGTGATTTTGGGCACTTTCCAGGCGATTTGGGGTCGGGGCTAGGGCCGTGGCACTCTATTGTCCGTTCGGGGCAATTTGGTGTTATGGCCGTGGTGCTGGTTGGCCTGCTGTGGTTCCGGGGTTGGAATTTTGTCTCTGATAGGCACCCGAGTGGTTTAGGCAGTTTCGGGGTCGGCGTTCTGGCTACGGAATATGTGGTCGACTTGTTTCCCTGGGTTCGGCTAGGTGATGCTGTTTAGGAAGGGCCATTTAATTTATGTTGTTTTGTTTTGTTGTTAGTTTTGTGGTTTAGTGTGTTGTTTTGTCGTATTTTCGTTTTACTGTTTTGAGCCTGGGTGTCAACTTATTCTCCTGTTGGAAGCAGACATTCGGGTATGACCCCGTTAGGGTCCTTTTAGTTTTTCAGTTTTTTAGTTTTGTAGTGTTGTTGTGTGTTAGTGTTTTAGTGTTCGTTTGTATTACCCCGTTGGGGCCGGCTTTAGGCAGTCATTGACTGTCCTCCCACTTTATTCAGCTGTTGGCTGGTTCTATTCAGCTGGTGGCTGTACCTTTGTACATTTTTGTGATGTATATATAATATCTCTATCGTTTCGGAAAAAAAAAATAACAATTTTTTTATTTTTTTATTCTTAAAAAAAATTGATTTCAAATTTTCATTCAACTGCCATTAAAAAGTTACTTAGAATAGTAATTTTGAAAATTTTAAGCGGGAATCTATATATTGTTTCAAGTAAATCCATGTCTCTATTATATAGTAATAGATTATTATTAGTTGCATATTTGAATTTGGTAGGAGAATATTTATTTATTTACCTTACTTCTTTTCTTGTTTCGTAAGTTAACTAATTAGGGCTTTATGAGATTTTATTTATTAGCTCCTTCTTCATTGTGAAGGGTTAATCAAGTTTAATGAAATAAGAATATTCTTGAGAGTTTTATCTCTTATTTTTTCAATCGTACGTTTTTCCCACGTCAGTTGGTATCCAGAGACCAGAACATTTCACGATGCCGCCCAAAAGCAACGATACTGTAGACGTCAGATGTGACGCTGCCATCGACGGTTTGGGGCGACAAGTTGCGGATCTGACCGCGGGCTTCAGCCGCCAATTCGATGTGGTGGGACCTCACATGGTAGATCTGACCGCAGGGACCAAGGACATCCGGTTGGCCATCAATACCTCTTTCCAAGGCAATCGGTCAAATCGAGCCCATGACCACGGGTGCGGTGGGGATGCGAGGGGGTAGCGGCCGAGGCGCACGTGGTCATCAGACTTAGGATGACGATTATTGTTTGTCCCATTTTTGTTATCTTTTTGTTTATTGGTTTATAGGTTTTTATCCCCCGGTTTAGGTCTTTTGATAGGATTTTCGGTCTTGCAGTCGTTTATTTCGTGTTTTTGCTATTATTGGTTATTTTCGTATATTCGTTGGTTTTCTCTGTTTTCCGAGTATTTTCTTGTTCTTGGAGATGTGCAGGTTTGGATCGTTGACCCGATATTTGGAGTTTATTCAGTTGAACTGTTCCGGTTTTACATAGTGCATGTCCCCATCGGAACACAAGCCTTTTCCGGTTACCACTTCATTTTCACCTTCACCTTTGTGCCTTAATGAGCCTTCTGACAGCCCTTTCCAGCCGCCACGCCGCGACGATGCCCGGGCCGCGACACTCTAGACCTCTCACGCCGTGAGCCACGCCGCGGCGGCCTCCCGCGCCGTGCCACCTTCTTCTCTCCACGCCGTGAGACTCCTAACGAGCGGACAGAGAAGTTCAGCAGTCCAGGTGTCACGCCGCGGCAAGCCCCGCGCCGTGGCACTTCAGTCCCTTCACGCCGCTGCCACACCATGACATACCTTTGCGCCGCGGCACTTCATTCTTCACGCCGTGATCAAGACCACGACTCTGCCACATCATCACGTCGCGCCGCGGCACCGGGATTTTTAAAATTCGATTAATGTTTTACGTTTAAGTAGGATCGAGCAAGGGTTTTGGATTCATTCTGCACCTTTCATTTTCTCTCGTTTTTCATCAGACGAAAACACTGTTCTCTTTTATCTTTGCTTATTTTTGAGATTTTTGGGAGTGACACTCAAGGATTTTGTTCGTGGATTTGGATTGTGCTTGAGATTAACACTCTCTATTTATCTATCATAAGTTTTCTTCTCATTTGACTATGAGTT